AAAAAACAAAACAAAACAAAAATTTTATTGTAACACCTTGAAATTCACTTTTAGAAGCCTTAATCACACACCTAATTCCAAATCTGTTATTATGATTTGGATATTCAATTGAAACCTGTGTTTTTCTGCAAAGTCCACCAAATCTTTAAATAAGTTTTTATAAAGTGCTTCTCATCTTCCAGTCCTTGAAACATAAACGAGTGGATAAGTTCCAGAATTTTCAGATCCAACAGGGGCATGACTTGTATACAGTTTCTTCATCCATAAAATGAGATGATATCAACCACCCTGCTCCCTCTCAGCAATGGTGTGAAAATAACACTAAGAAAATACAGATGAAAACAGTTGGGAACTAGAAATTTTAAGACAAAGCCCTCTGACCAAGCTGCCACTTCCAGGCTAAGTTTAACTCCATATACGTAAATTGAAGGCAGTGTTGTGTGATTGACCCTGGTCTGAAGTTATGCAGATGGGCTGGCCTATCTCCAGGGAAGCAATGAACCAACCAGGGAAGGCCACAGATTCGAAGGTGGAGGTGCTACCGGTCTTGGCATGATAGAAAAGGAAGGGCTTCACTGGCTCAGGTTGATTGTACAGATCCATGATCTTCTGCTCCTGAAATGTGAAAGAGAATACCCATGAGGAGAAATAGAAGCTGTTTAAGATGTTCAAAATTATTTGCAGACAGCCAATAAATGTTCCAAAGTTTGAGAAAGCCTTATCCATCTATTAGAGCAAGCCTGGAAAAACACATTTCAAAGGAGCAGCAGAGTGAACACACACAAGATTTCACCTTCCAAGTCCCTGCCCTCAAATCCAGAGACGCTATAGGAAGGCTACAAGGGACAGATTAATGAACAAGTGGCCACACTTGAACAACAAATTGGAACTCTCTTCACATAAGAGTTCAGAGATGCAAATTTGCAGCAGTAAGCCAAGGGTCTTCCTTACCAACACCACAACAGAGAGCCCCCACCCTACAAGAGCCACTGTGATGGCAAAGGATGGCCAGGTTGGGGTATGAGTCTCCAACCAATTGCCAAACATATAAGAAAGACCAATACCATGAAAAAGACACAAGAGGATCTATTGAGTCAAAGGACTTGCACCAAAGGAGCAAAGTAAATACAGCACTCAGAAAATGCCACCTATATTGTATATAGAAGTATATTTTGTACTTGTATGTGTATGTATTTGTTTATGCATATATTGTATATTTAGGTAAAATAAGTATTTCTAAGTAAATTACATATGTGCAAGATCTCAAGAGAGACACAGGAGTGGTCAGTAATTCAGACACATTCCACCCTGAATAGGGAGTTTTCTCCCATGGTATTCGCTTGCTCATTTAATGGCTTCCAGTTTATTTGATTCTTTGGGTGGCCAGAAACCCAGGAATCATCCTTAATACCTCTTTTTCTGATCCCCTAACATCTAACCCAGCAGCAAGTCCTGTTGACTCTATTTCCAAAATATTTCCTGAATCAAGCCACTTCTTGCACCCCCCACACAGCTAATTCCCAATCCAGACCATCACCATCTCTCACCTGGACTACCAGGTTGGGTTTCTAGCTGTTCTATGTGACCCTACTCTGTCCTCTACCAACCATTCTTCACAAAGCAGCTGAGCAAATTTTAAACTGAAATAAATAAGTAAGATCATGTTACCTTCTGGCTTAAACTTCTTGCATGATTTTTTATTATAATTACAATGAAATCCAAATTCCCTAAAGCCTGCAAGGTCTACCTGCCCCGGCCCCTGACCCCAGCTCTTGCCCACCTCCCTGCTGGACCTCCCACCACTCCTCTGCATGCCCATTCTACTCTGGTTGCACCTGACTTCTTCCTGTCCCTCAAAGACACCAACGTGCTTCTGCCAAGGGTCCTGGCACCCCTTCTCACCCCACCTGGACACGCTGCCACCACAGCTTCCCATGGCCGGCTCCTGCCCACTACTTAGGTCTCACCTGAGACGTCCCCTCCTTGGGGAGAACCGCATCCTAGCCAAAGCAGGTCTCAAGTCCCCCTCCTCCCACCCACCACTATCTCATTTCTGGGTTATTTTCTCCATTAGTGAGAACCACTACCTAACTTAGCATATTTACCTATCGATCACCTAATTATTGTCTGACTTGCTCATCACCGTATTCCTCAACATGTGGGAAAGCCCCTGGCATTCTACTCAACAGAGATTTACAGACTGTTTAATAAGTGAATGACTGCCTTCTCATTTCAAACCACATACCTCCTCCTGCATCCTCCCCTTCAACTTCCTACTCACTGAGAAACTTGAAGCAATTAAGGGAGAACTTGCAACCACCCACCCATCGCAGGGCCCCCAGCATATCACCCCACACCCGTGCCTCCCTGCCAGAGAAGGACCAGGCAACAGGTCCAATCTGCACTCGCCAGCTTCAGTGTGTTCCTAGCCATTCTTCCTGCTCTCTTGTACTCCATCAATTTTGCTTTCTCTACCCAATCATTCCCTGTCATTTCCTGATTATTTGCTGTCATTTGCACCATCTTAAAAAAATAACTATTTTGATTACCCACCACCACTGCCGATTCCCCTCTGCAGAAAACTCCTAGCTATAGCTGTCTATATTTGCTGTCTCTGATTTCTCTCTTGTAATTCCTCTCTTTGAACTCATTCCATCCAGGTTTTCTCCCCCACAACTGCACCGACATCAAGGTCCTCCCCAGTGACCCACGGATTGCCAAATACAATGGCCAATTCTTAGTCCTCATCTGAGGACCAAAGCAACAAGAGAAGGGTTACTTAGCAGACAGGACACAGCGGGAAATGTAATTCCCAGTCCTCATCTTACTGATCACGCTCTGTCAGTGATTCCTGTTACCTCCACTTAAAATTTTTTATTTCCACAATTTGATCTGCTTCTCTCCACCTCCACCGCTATCCCTTGGCCCATCAAATCACACCTAGATCACCTCGAAGCCTCCTGAAACACTTTTTCCCTTGGTCCTTGCAATCTACCATTGACTGGGATCCAGAGTGATTCTTTTTAGAACTAAGTCAATCTGCATAACTCTTCTGTTATGAAACATTCTAAGAGCCTCTCATTTCACGTAGATTGCAAGGCTAATATCTTAGTGAAAGGAGTGCAAGGCCCTTCGTGGTCTGCCTTCATCTCTCTGAACTCCTTCCTCAATTCACTCCTGCTCGTCTGTCTTCACTGGTCCTGGGACTTGCTCTCACTGGATACCCTGCTGAATAACTTCCCTCCCTCCTTCTATTCTCTGCTAAAATTTTACCTTCATGATGACACCTACCATACTGCAGCCTGACTCCACCTGTTTCTGCCTGTCTCTTTATCCTTCTCTAATTGTTATTGTC